GATTTGAGACTTTAGTCTTTGCAACTTTACAGATCTTCTTTATGCACCAAGAGCTTGTAACACTCCAAAGAGAAAGGAAAAAATGAAATCGCATCATATGACCCCTTTAAAAGTTGTGAAAAAGCTGGAAATAGTGACAGATCTTTACTTTATTATATTGTGATGTATATCCCAGTATATAATGGACTGTTGAAAAAGAAAACCTGTAGGATGGGGATTGGTTTTATGCATCGGTTATTGATTGGATGTTGAGATGCAAGCTTTAAAGGAATAGTTCACCCAAAAATGAAAATTTGTGAAAGTTTACTCACCCTCAGGCCATCCAAGATGTAGATGGATTTGTTTCTTCTTCAGATTTGGCCAAATTTAGCATTACATCACTTGCTCACCGGTGGATCCTCTGCAGTGAATGGGTGCTGTCAGAATGAGAGTCCAAACAGCTGATAAAAGCATCACAATAATCCACAAATAATCCACACCACTCCAGTCCATCAATTAACATATTGTGAAGTGAAAAGCTGTGTGTTTGTAAAAAACAAATCCATCATTAAGACTTTTTTTTACTTCAATCTGTTGCACCGGTCTAGAATATGAGTCCTCTATCTATGATATTGCTTTTTCCAGTGAAAAAAAAATCATCTTGTCTGAATCAGGAGCGAAATATGCACAGATCAAGCACCATTTACTAGAAAAACAGTTCTAGACAATATATCTCGGTGGATTTTGATATGAGAGGACAACAAGGAATGGACTTTTTCACTTAAGGAAACGTTATGGATTATGGACTCGTATTTTGGCCTGAAGTGACAGTTTAAAAGTTAAAATGCTTCAACTAAGGATTTACAAACACGCAGCTCTTCACTTCATAAGCTGTTAATTGATGGATGTTTTTATCAGCTGTTTGGACTCTCATTTGGGTGGTATAGATTATACGTTATTCAATAGGTTATCATAATCACTGTTATTATGTTTTGTACAGATTAATGGCTGCCATGGACAGAATAGTAGTAGCTTTACCACTGGACAGCAGTCTTCACGTGAGTTTTGATGAGTGTGTGAACTCCTCTTACAGTCTGAGGATGATTTCAACATGAGAACATCTTTCTTTTCCTGATCCACATGCTGATATGTGTTTCTGGCAACCGCCCATCACCAGCAGCAAACACAGCAAGTTCAAAAGGGCTGATAGTTTGCCAGCCGCCTGTAAAAGCTCCTTCAGCTGTAACCTCATTCTTTTAGCTGTAGATCTAGCTGTGGTATGCATCCTGGCACCTTGTTTTTTGAAGAAGATATTGCATACTGTATAAGGTGATTTTATAATAATATTTAAATCTCATAATTCCACTAACTCAGTTTAAAAGACAAGTATATAATCATTCAGTCACTCTCACGGTATTCTATACTTTAGTTTGGTCTCAAGTTTCAGTCAGGTCTATTCCAAGGTTGTCTGCTGATACAAATGTTCATTTTGAACAGTAAGTGCATCTGAAATGGCAGTTTGCACTTAAAGAGATTGTGATGCAGTCAGTGAAAGGTTTTCTTTCAGAAAAAGCTGTTTTCTTTATACATTTGAACTATTCTTATTTAAAAAAACTTGTTTTTACATTACAAGTTTTATATGGTTTAACAACACAGCAAAGTGAAGTTTTTCTGCCAAGAGCTCTTTATACAACAAGGTATTAATACCATATGCATTTAAAAAAAAAACGAATTTAAACTAATTTCACTGAATAGAAGAAGTGTCCTTGTCAGCCTTATCAGATTTTGTGCCTCCCTGATCAAAAACTTGAGACAGCAGTAGGCTGAGGCTGTGCATTATACTGGTACAAGGAGTGTAGTGATTTCAGGTTTCATGCAGGCAAAGCTATTTTTAGACAGGCAATGATCCGGCCTGCAGGGTATGGTCATTGTAGGTCACCTCACTTGGGCAGCAAAAAAATATATGGTGCATGATGAAGAAAGTTAGAGATCCTAAACACAGTTTTGCACATTTGGGAAGTTTTCCAAACATTTGGATTCAGTCTTAATCTAACATGATCATGCCCATAAACACATCGAGTCTCTGACTTTGAGCCTTTTGCAATTCAAGGCCAAATGCACAATTATCCAAAATTGACCTAAATTTGTCTTAATTGTATTTGAGAGCTGGATATTATTATTTCCATGTGTAATGGAGGCCAGCTGGTATGAGATTTGTGCAGGTAAAACAGATGTATCTGCATTTATCTCAGTAATTATGCTGTTAGCCTTCCAAACACATATGATTAATGATTTAATTAAAGATCTGACATGATAAATCAATGCTCAGATCTGTCATTTGAAAAGCATTTTGAGCGATTTTACAGCATTAGATACCCTTAAATATGTTTTATAGTTATGCCATAGTGTTGTCATGGATATTCAGCACTTTATTTGACCCCTTTGTTCTAATGGAAATACTTTAAGAATAGCATTTTGGGAAGGGATGGAAAAGTTTGATTGTCAGGAAGTTCAAAGTATGGTAATTTGAAGCACCTTTTGTTTGTTTGTGTGTGGGAAGATTTGACGATATTATGTTCATCCCTTGAGGTCGATTACTGGCTCTTGTTGTCTGACCTATGTTTGGATAGAAAATCAAAGAAAGTGAAATAGTTGCTGCCTAAAAATGTCAATAAAAGTGCCGCAATGATATACTAGTTAATTTTGCAATAGAGCTTTTTAAAAATAATTGCATAATTATTGTCTTATTGTCAATAATTGTCTTCTGTTGGAAATTCCTTTGACCATATAAGGGAAGAGGAAATAGATGTGGTCACAGGGTGGTTCCTGAGGTTGTGCACAAGGATAAGAGTGCACGTGACGTAAGTGTGTGCACTCTATGCTGGTTTGAATGGGTGGACCAGCACTGCACAAAAGATGTCTGTTGGTGATAAGGACAGGAAAAACACTGCTACATCGCCTGCCAAAATAATCTGCTCGGTCAAAAAAGCAAAACAATTGGGGGAAAATATATTGTGTTCGATTAGAGGGATCGAGACAGGATGTAAAATTGTTCCGAGGGGAAGAAGCTCTCAGCCCGAGTCACACTGCAAGTAGCACAGCCTTTGACATTTTTGGGATGTGTTGGTTTTGTAGCAGATGTACATTCTTTAGATCTACATAGTGTATGCATCTGTGTGAGTATGAAGTTGGCTGTATGTTGGCCCACACTGAAGGGGTAGTTCCCACAAATAAGTTGCAGTGGCTCCACCCATGTCCTGTGTCAAATAGCGACCCTCTTGACCTTAGGCTGGTATGAAGTTTGTGTCTCGTGTGAACTTTCCCCAAAGCTGGGAAAGAGCAGCACGCACAAAACAGTAAAATACACTTTACGTTTTTAAAAAATATCACAACGGAACAAAAAAAATGACGTTTAATCTTCGTTTTTTGCAAGTCAGGAGGCTTGTTGGTGTTAAATTGCTAAATACCATGTCCTACTATGACTAATCCATAAGATTCTAACAATGTAAATCTGTGTTTCTGTTCCAAACAACCTAAATGAGTGATATCTTGTTGACATCAAAATATGGTCTGACTGGCTGTGATTGTGTCATGCTGCACAGCATTTTCATCTTCAGTGCGGACACAAATTGCTTGCCACTAGAAATGTAAGTAAAGTAAAACTAAACTAGCGAAAGGTAAACTTAACTTAAGTAAATCCTTATGAAAAAAAAGAGTGCTTAATTGTATTGAATGTGCACTTGTAGTGTACTTCAAATCTATTATATTAAAAAAACATGTACTTGCATATAATGTAATGTAAATAAATAAAAGGCCACTTAAGTGTACTTAGAGTACACTTTCATGATAGTTTCTTAACACATTTACTGCAAGTACACTTAAGTA